ATAAGGAAAGAAGTACAAATAAAATCTAAGATAGGAGAATGATTTATGCATAAACATTATAAAGACAAATCGGTCCAACTTGCGGAAAGTAGAATTGAACTGTCAAACACAATCCACACAATTTAATCTATTAATTTATTTATACCTAATACATGTTTTAGAGTGGGTAACATACATATATACAATACAATACAATATATTCTGGAATGCCATGTGTTATCAACAGATAAAGAATTAGAGGAAATGTCCGCCGCACGCGTGTAAAGCACTGTTTGTAAATTAATTATGCAGAGACTATACAATAATAAATACAATAAACCGAATATTATTAATTATTACCTTATACTTATGTAATATGTATTTTGTTATTCGTTGTTCTCGGTGCTCAATAAAAATGTTTCTACTGTAGTTTTAACGTCTTTACGATTTCTATTTAAAACAGTGAAGGTGAAAAAATACTGTAAAATATATTTGGTAGTATATGTTACAAATCAATATATGCATTTGGCAAATTTTTCTCACACGAGGAATAAAAAAAGAAACATCTTATGTACAACTGAACTTTCATTTCTCCATTAATGGTTGCACAGTGCCCGTACTCGTTTAACGAGCAGCATTTTTCATAACGATTTAAATTTACACAATTAACGATTTTATTCATATACTTCATTTTGAATCACTGTTTCATTCAATATAGAATTTGAAAAATATTACATATGTTCAATTTCTATGTGTTAGAATCTCAATCTGGTTTATGACACACAGTACATTAAATAAACAAAGCACATTGAATTTGGAGGAAAAAAAGAACGTTCAATCATCTAACAGAAGACTCAAAGGATCTTGGCCAATTTTTTTAGCTGTCTTTTTTAGATCTCTTGTTACTATCTTTTTAATAGCGCTGTTACGCGCTTCTAACGATTTTATTTGTAACTCGTTCGTAGATTTATTTCCAAAAATATGATCATCTTCGTCGTCCTCATCGGACGGAAACAACGACTTGGATGTAACCGTGATTTTTCTCGGTGCCGGTTTTTTAGCGAATATGTCATCGTCTCCACTTGACTGATCGGCAAAAATATCAGTGATGTGAGAAGTCCGTACAGGCTCGGTGATACTTGTGAACATGTCACTCTTATTCGATTGTACTTGAACGCTTTCAGCATCGGACTTCTGTGCCTGTTCAGAAAATATATTCGTATCGTTGTCGACATCATCGAATAAGTTTGTTTTCTTCACAGGCTGCTGTGCAGCATACTTCTTTTCGGATTCGCTTTTCGGCGCTGACCTTTTCAAAGCGGGACCAAACAAACTGTCATCTTCATCTTCTTCATCGAACAGATTAATCTTAGTATCCTTCAAAGGTTTCTTTACGGCCAATGTCGTCGAAAATAGATCACCTTCCGCGTCATCCGTAAACAAGTCTAAAGCTGGCTTCTTCGCAGCCTGTTCAACTAATTTCTTAGTACCACTAGTGAAAAGGCTATCATCTTCAGAGAACAATAAGTTCTTTCCTTTGTCCGGAGACGGTGTTTTCGTAACAAAAGCAAATAGCTGACTGGGATCCTTTAAGGGATCGTGGCTATGATCTCGTAACGGATCAATCATTTCTGTAGATTCATCCTCCAGATTGGTGTTCTCTGATTTCGGTTCTTCATTACTTTCACGTAACATCGGATCATGTACATCAGAAGAGTTTCTTGATTCAGACAATGTGCTACTCTCTTCTATCTTCTCTGCAGTGTTTACTGTTTCTTGTTCTACGTTGTCCACTACGCCCGGTTTAATATGCGTGTCTTTTAACGTTTCGGAGGCAACAGGGGGCTTTTCGGATATGACTTTTTCAACCGGGGAAAGGATAGGTGCCCTTCCGAATAACGTATCTTCTTTCTGCGGGTCCTCCGGTAAATCTGGAGGTACGTCAAATAAATCTTCCTCGTCCGTGGACGGGGACAGCAAGGTATTTTTGTTGGCGCTCATTGAACTCTCTTTACTTATGCTCCCAAGTTCTGATCTGTCATCCACAGCCAGGAAAATGTTCGCGTCGTTGTTTCGATGAATATTGTCGGTAGTTGATGGAACTAAGCGATCGGAGATGGTTGCAGCAGTATGCACGCCATTAATACTAGCAGCCGCAGTGGCCTCTTTGCTGTAGGCACTCGACGATTGATTAAACTGGCTCTCGTCTTGTGAATTATTCTCGGAAGTGTCTACGGCATCAAAATCGATACCACTTTGTCTGATGGCAGACTTCCGTGCATGCCTACTTTGCGGTCGACGTTTTGCTTGTATTCTAACACGAGTCTGAAAAAAATATATGAATAAAAACTGTATGTAGTTTTTGAATTTTTTAGCATACAAAAACAGATTTGAGTTTTTTAATTGACTTACCTTCGAAGCGGTAGACAGCGTTTCTACTTGAGCTGGCTCGTCGAAACTAATAGCACTTTCAGCATTACTTTCGCCCGAAATCGTCGATATTTGCGATTGCTTTTGAGCAATGCTATCTTCTGCCACATAACATTCTTTTTTAGATTGCACACGTAACAAATTATTTGAAAAATAAAAGAATTATGAGAAAAATAAAGTTACCAGATGCACTCGGTGGCGAACTATGACCTTGCGTGCTGATACATCCACCATCATCGCTATCTCTATCCGCGGTACTATCTTCCTCATCTGTTTTCTCTTCGCTTCTTCGCCATAATGGTGGTGTGTCCATAGGCGATATTATTTTCAGATCGCCCATTTTTCCCATCAAATTTTTAATCTTACCAGACACTGATCGTTTCGCTCCCTGATTCTCTTCGGGCGACGGTTGTGTAGCTGTTACATTAATATCTAATGAATTCGGAGGATTGTTTCTCATTTCCGATTCAGAATTTTCTACATTTCGTTTCTCGGGATTATCTCCAAATATATCTTTATCGTTAACTTGTTTAATATTCTCAGATGTAGTAGAAGAGGCACTTGCATCTTCAGATTTTATAAAGACATTGGAATTATCCTGTAATTTTGTATCCTTAACAATATCTTCTTTTGCTATCCTATCCTCCGACGATGCCAATTTTGGTTCATCTGTTTTGATTTGTTTTTTGCTTACATCTTTAGTGCTAAATAAATCATCATAATCGTCATCCTCAAAAATCGATTCATGCGATCCAATAGTTTCTGAGAATAATCCATTTCCCGAAAGAATGCCGCTACTGTTCTCATTCTTCTCGATGGATAGTTTTTGGTCCACAATGTCTGTTCCACCGACAAACATTTTTGACAACTGTTTATCGCTCTCCTGCCTTTTATCGGTAGGTTTCGGTTTCTTTACAGAAAACAAATCGTTATCATCATCGTCGTTGAAAATACGGAAGTCATTGTTAGTTTTAATAGGTTTAGTGGCGAATAAATCACCGTCTTCGACATCGTCATTGTCAAACAAGCTGATCTTCTTTGTCGTAATAACGTTTTGTTCTCTCACCGCGTCACTGCTTTTCATTATCGTGTCTCGAATATTACTTGCGAACAAATCGTCGTCAAGGATATCTGATGGTTTCTTATTAGCAGTATTAGTGTCCTCCTTAGCTACAGGCTTCGGCGTTATGCCGAAAATATCTACGTCTGGTGAGTCCTTATTATCGAAAATGTCGATCTCCTCTTCAAAAAGTCCTTTTCCTTCTGTGGACTTGATCTTGTCGGTGGCAGTCAAGAAATCGCTGCTCTTCTGCGATCTCGAACCAGAACTAGTCGTGGAGAATAATTCGTCGCCGGAATCTGAATCGTCGAAGAGCGACGACACTTTAGATTTCGCTGACTTTGAGTCAGTTTTTGATAGCGGAGGCGGTCCGAACAAGTCTTCATTTTCGAATACATCATCTTGTACAGAAATATTTTCAACTGATTCGTTTTGCGACTGAACGTTCGTCGAGTTCGAGGTCGCATTCGCTGGATTACGTGTACGCGCAACAAAAAGACTGTCACTGACGACACGTTCTCGATAAAGTTCTTCCGATTTTAGACGAGTTGACGTCATCTGTGGCTGGAAATCACTGAAACAAACATATTACGAATATTTGTAGTATTGTGTAACCGAAAAAACCATTTTCTTATATATATATTTATTTTCCTAAATTAAACAATTCAGTTTTTTATTTGAGTACTGTCTCGATTTTGTTAGTGAGAAGTTTGATAAAACAAAGTCAATTTATAAAATTTTGTTCTAAGAAGTTAACAATTGACCGAGTAGTTACTTAATCTCCAAGCAGATATCGATAGTTTTTATAGTATCTATAAAAATCTAAATTTAGATTTTAACTCATCTACGCAAACATAAAATGAAATGGTCGAGTAAAGGTCAACGAAGATAAACAAATGCAATGTATAAAAGAGATGTGTTAAGGAAGTAAACGAACACTGAGTGATCAAAATGAAAACCATAATCACACTCCTATGTGCAGCTTTGCTGATAACGTGCGTGTTTGCGGATTCAGAAGGTATTATAATATTTCAATATATAATAAAATAATAGAAACAAACATAATTATAAGATAAAATAGACTAACGGTATAAATAGGATTACGAAAGAAGAAAGCAGTCATTTAGCTAACATGTGGGATTGATTATACTGACTAGAAATATTTAATCCACAAATTAAATTTGCATATTTTTAATAAACAGAATATTGCGAGTTGAACCACAAGAATGTTACCGCAGGCGTTTATAGTGTGAATTGCGTACGATACAAGTGTGACCCTCCAAATCTATCAGCGCTGGCGTAAGTGATTTGATTTTAAATTAATATGCACTTACTCGACGCATATATAATACATACATGATATGTATGCGTGATATTAATCATTATTACATTTCCTTGTGTTACTATCTTTGTAAATTAGAAGTATTGTGTATTGAATTAACTCGATCTGTTATTTAATGTCAGACAATAGTGAATGTTAATATGAGAAAATATTTTAGATGCCCAGTTTATATATGCGAGGAAGGGCAACAAATAGGAGAAAAACAGAACGATTTAACTAAACCCTACCCAGAATGTTGTGGAGGCCCTATTTGTAAAAAAGATGAGTAACAATAATAACGACAGATATGTACAATGTAGTACTTACTTGATGTTATATGATTAAAAATAAACTAAGAAAAAAGTGTTGGTCGAATAGTAAACATGTGGAAGATTCCGAACCGAGATGAAAAGTAAGCTAAACTAAGACTGAAGGAGCTTGCCTTGAGCTCGCGCATGTACCCGATACTATCACTATAATCCAATGAACGATGACTAATGCTTGGATCATCAATTCAATAATAATGTGTTCTTAACACGCGTATTCACATTCACTCGTGCATGCAGAACAAATCAGTCCTTACTAGCGTTTCGTTAGACGTGATCAAACATGTTTTGAAGCGGAGCGTATTTTTTATTTTTAAGTAATACTAATAATTTAATTAATACTCACTTTATACTCGAACCTCCTGTATTGTTAACGCTCGGTGGGTGGATTGATATTCCGCTGCTGTAGCTACTTTCATTTACGTCAGCTGGATATATTATACTGGAACCTTGCGTATTATCGTTTAAGATGTTATACCGCGATTGATCAAGCGTTGGTACATTGTTTGCATTACTTTTCTCATTCTCCGGCATGTTATTACCAGAAGATTCAGGTGACTGAGCCAGCGATACTCTATTTGTTGTTTTACTTTGAACGTCTGAAGTTAAAATATTTCGAAGTACTGGTATTCCTCCCACAGGTTTCTGATATAGAACGCGAAATATATTAATTTGTTCATTTTGCTGCAGTATAAAATTTGGAATTATAACGTTGCGTATGATCTTACTTTTTTAGTTGATTGTTGATTTTTAGATGATCCGAAAAGATCACTGTCTTCATCGTCGCTAAATGCATTAGTATTATTTGTATTAGTTTCTGGTGTACTTGTGACCATATTATTAGTTGCTCCAGGAGCTATGATATCTAAATGATTTTTTTTCACATCTCCTGCCTGCGCTACAGGATTATTGTTGTTGGGTTGTTTGGTTTTTGCAATCGGTTTAATTACATTTTTCGGCGAGAAAATATCATCAGAATCTTCAGAATCAGCGTCACCGAAAAGATCATCAATTGCAGATTTTGGTTTCGTAGCTGGAAATATAGATTCTTATCAAAGATCTCCAAATTTAATAATCATATAAATGGTGATACAATTTGAATTTTGAAAACTTACACACTGTATTAATCGGAGGTGGTACATCGATACTAGCAGGTATAATGTTATTAGTTTTATATGATTTAATCGGCTTTTCCTTCCACGAATTTTCCGTATGCTGATTATTTAAAAATTCTTTAGTTCCGCTAAATACGGCTTTGGATATTTCACTTATGCCACTTTCATTTTCTTCTGTTGCGAGAAGCTCGTCTGAAGGAATAGCAAAAATAATTTTTCGCTAGGTATAAATTGATTAAATTTGTATGTACGTACCTTTAGAACGATTTATCGACGTCTCACTCTTATCATGTACAACAGGTTTTTGAATTTGCCGTACTGTACCTAATCGCTTGGCCAATTCTTCTGCAAAATTCGGTTGTACATTGTTTGGTAACGGCATCTACAACAAACACGTAGTTGCAATATTAAAATCTGATAAAACGCATTTCTCAAAGCCATGAATATTAGAAGAAAATAACATAAAAACCTTTGCTACATTTTCATTAGGTGAAATTGATTCAGGAACAGAATCTATATTGTTCTGACTAACGGCATCTAATTTTTCACTGTCCATGTATGTCATATCATTTCTTTTAGTGTAATCTGGTTCGTTCAAAGAAGGTAACGATCCAACAATATTTGTCTTTTGTGCAGCATTCATACTAAAATCTTTAAACGGTGCTGTGCCATCGTCTTCAGTTTCTGATTCCTCTTCTTCATCTACTTGTTCAGATTCACTACTGCTACTGCTTTCTAAACCAATTTTACTCGAGTTCATCCATTTCTCAGAACCAATTACGTCAGGTAAAGGACGATCTTGGTATGGATTATTTGGCCCCAACACAACACTGAACGAAATAAAATCGAACTAATCAATCTCTGTACCTCAAGAAATTATTTTGACGAGTTAATTCAATAATTATATTTACCTCAGGACAACTTTATTATCCTCTTCATCACTATCACTATCAACAAACTCCCTTTCCTCATATTTCTCATACATTATATTTAGACCTTGCTTCACACTTTCACTCACGCTAGCTATTAAATCTGCAGTTACCAAATCTTGATCCTTCGATTCCTACAAAAGTAATATTGTTATAACAATGAAAATAGAATGTCTTACATTCTGTTACTTTCAAATACCTCAATTGATGTTTCTTCACGTTTTCCAATGTCTATATCATCTTTTTGCACACGACTCTCAATAAATTGAGTGTTGGCCAAAGCTAAAGACGTATTGGTAAGATTATCTACAAATATTGCTGCTTCATTTAACTGAGTAGTTAATGAATCTACAACTTCTTGAGTTTTATTTGCCCTGGATACCAAATTCTATTTAACAAGAACATGTCATCAATAAGTATACTCTCTATATTTTTGTTCTTCATATGCTATTCAGGAAAATCAAAATTTATTACAAATTCATACCTCAGAAAATTGTTGAAGGTGTTTAAGAAGTCCTGCGTCACCTGCTAAACTCCATTCCCTTCTTTTTTCTCGCATTTCTTCTGTAGTCCACGGATGATCCCATGATTTATCCATTCCATCTGTTATATCCTAGTAAACAAAATTCTTAGTTCATTCTTTGAAAGGCACTGCAAATACAATTTATTTTAAATTAACGTTATCAATTTGATAAAAAATGAAGAGTGGAAGCACGATAATCTTTTTCTACGTAGGAATGATAATATTAACCCATCGTTTATATATCTGTTAACCTTAGTTCTAAATGTCCAACAAGCAGATAGCAAACAACTGTGGAACGTGTTACATACCATGCCAGCTAGCTTAATTTCATGAACAGTTTGTTATTATTCGTAGTCGCATTTATGCCATCTATTATATTTTTATTAAACTCAAAAAAAGAAAAAATATTTAACAGTTAAAATAATCAGTGTTGTGTTCGAATGTCCGGCACTGTCACATCTACTGTCACTGTGTGATTTAAGAGGTTCTCAATTAGTTTCTATATGTAAGAATAAATTAATAGTTTAAATACGACCTTCAAAAAGATAGCACTTTCTCGGGCTTATTAGACAGAATGTTCATGACAGAAAAACTGGGGAGACAAACGAAAGATTCGATAAAGGCACCCGCCGTGCAGTAAGAATAATAAAATCGGTAAGATTGTTTGAACGTCCAAGATGAGAACAAGGCATAAGTGCGAAAGAGAAACTGAACAACTCCGCGACTCCGCGTACGTCTAAACTCTAAACATGCGCGCATTATGTAAAGCACCAATTGACACTATTGACAGTTGATCGTCGACAGTCTTTGAGAAACCTTGACAGTGCAAAGTATAATCTTGAAAAGTATATCTACTGCAGACTATAATATCGACAAGAATACTTTCGTTTCGAATAAATTACATACGTAGATCCTCGATTTACCAGACCATTTGGAGGGGACCAGTGTCTGCTGATACCGAAAGTCCGCTAAATAGGATATTAGTAAATAAACTGTATTTTCTGACCTTTCTGTCCTGCAAATTTAAATATATAATACATATATATGGTATATAGAATATGTACGTTCATACATATACATATGTAACGGAAAATGTATGTAATAAGCTACATATATAATTAGTAATAAAAAATATATAAAAAGTCGAAATTAAAAATATTAAATATTGTATTCAGTTAAAGTATCTACTAAATCCAAAATCGATACGTTGGAGTTTGTTAAATCGACGGTTTATTGTATTGATTTTTATTGAATTTTGTCTTTCCTTGTTATTTTAAATAGATCCACACTTTCATATTTAAGTCTTGATTATATTCACCCGTTTCTTTTATCCGGACCTCATCCGATACCTGAATTATTATGATCCTAACACTATGTATGTGAAAATTAGATTATTCAAACCTGAGGCAGTTTAAGTTCATTAATAAATAAATAATAAAATCACATAAGTGTCATAAACAGCAAGCTACCCTAATGATTTTATTTTCTCAAGCTATATTTATCAAAATTGAATAAGTAAAATCGGGTTTTTTTATTCGAACATACAGCACTGACAAATGCAATGTTGCCAAATCGAATAGTATTTTGGTTCGCGTTCAACATTCCGCTGTTCGACCAATGTAGGAACAGCGCTGTGGATTGTTTGTCAATACCTATCTTTGAGTTCGTTGATTTTTACTGGGTTTTACGCGTAAAGCAATCATTTTACGATGACACGAAAGATCAAGAAAGTATCTTGACTATTAATACATCGGAGTGTTTATAAAAATAGTGCACGCGTGCGACGCACACGGATGTAATACTGTCAAGGCGAGAACATTGTATATGTGGAATAATGCTACTTTTATATGCAAGTGAGGAATTCCATCTGTTTCATTAAAGAAGAGGATGTTTAAAATGTTTTCATTGTAAAAGCCACCGGAAACTTCCTACCTCGATTAAACTTTCTTTTAATTGCACGGTTTATCATGGATATGTAGAATCTGTTTCGTAAGTTGAAGGACAAACATTTATAATAGAACAGCAAAAAGGAAAAAAGACGGATAACCCTTGATGCAAAAAAAGTTCCATATATTGGCACTTTTTATCGGTACGTACATTAAAAAGAATATATTTTATGTTAGTCTAAAGAACAATTTATTTACGTGTATATTTTTATCAGAAATTAGATAAATTTCTTAAAGCAATATCTTATATAGAATAACTCATGCTAAGTAACAATAAATAATGTTATAAATTATTCAGTGCTTAAAATAGGATTAAAAGTAATTATAAACAAATCATTCAATTTTTATCAGAAGACACGATACTCATATTGTATATTGATCATGTATATTTCTTTGTTTTAGATACCCTCGGAAAAATGTACATCAGAATGTCGCAGCAAAGAATAATAGATGGCTTGCATAGTAAAAATGACTATAACCAACAGTTGTGTATCTTATTTAGTTGATGCACAAATTATTGTCTTAGGCAATTGTCAATTTTCTTTATTGCATATCTTTATCTTGCTCTTTTGGAGCAGTCTCATTATCATAAAGTATCTGGTATCCATAAAATCACTTTTAATGAGGCTGAAGGCACATATAGGAAGGCGAACTCTCTTTTGAGAAGGTACTGCGTACTACAACTGAGTTTCATGAACAATGAACCATTCGGGAAGTGGAAAACGTCAGGCGAAGGTTTTGGAAGAAAATTACTGGGACTGCAGTGTTTGCACATATAGAAATACGGCAGAAGCATTTAAGTGCCTCATGTGTGACGTCCGAAAAGGAACCTCGACGCGGAAACCCCGCATTAATCCCCAACTCGTGGCACAACAGGTATCTTTAATTTATTCTTGCTGTCTTTAATTTAATACACTGATGAACGTGCAACAAGTTTGCAATGTAACTCTCGTTTATATGTAGGTTGCTCAGCAACAGTATGTGCCACTCTTGAAACCAGGCAAGAAGGAAGGTGGTAGTGGGGGCAGTACAACTAGTAGTGGTAAAGAAAAAGACCGTAAATTGGATAAACCGAGGCGTAAAAATAGGCACCCGCCGCGTCTCAAAAATATAGACCGTAGTACAGCCCAGACCAATGAAGTGACAGTAAATAACGTTACTGTCGTTATTACAGAATACAAACCCAAAGTGAAAAAGAACTCTGACCAGTCTGGTTTGTCTAGCAGTGCTTCTTCTGAAAATGGAAGTCAGCACGACTCGAATCAAGACTCTCGAAGTCTGGATATAGGAACGGACGCTTAGCTCAATGCTATTTCAAATATGTGTATGAATTAATCTAAATTATATATTACATACTGTATGTTTCTTCACGGACCGTGGTCCATTATGTAGACAAAACGACCATTTCGTCTATATGTTACGGATTACATAACATACAATGAAATCAGACGTGTTATGCTATCAGTGGAATCATTGAATTATGTCTTCAATATAATATACAAAAAATATGTCGTGCATTGTTGTTTCACGCTGACATCAAAATTGTCTCATAAAACAGAAAAATCAGCTGTACTTAATCTATTTATTTTATATACTGTCAGTATTCTAAATTAATGTTTTATTGATCATTTTAGATAATTTTATTTGTGCGACTTTGGATATTACTTACTTTACTTGTATGACATTGTCTAAAACAATTTCATTATATGGCCTTGATAGGGCAAGTAGACTTTGATATACCCATTGTTGACATAACGATGTCTACGTAACTTTCACTGAATCTATAACACCACTGCCAGAAAACACGTTGTAAGATTTATTGTTGATTAGAATATTTTAATGAATTCAGTTGTGTATAATATGACATATTTGTTTATTTAATAATGATTGTGACGAGGAATTAAGAAACTGGCATTGGTACGTGCATACCTTTATCCCATTCCAAATTATCTATAAATTCGATCTGTTCCAAGCTTTACATTTTAATAGTAATTAATTCCACCAATATAAAACATTAATTTATATATAGATATATGACAAAGTATGTAACATAACGCATAACAACATAAATTGACATAAGTGAACCATGGTTTTATACATTTTAGATAATATCAGAGTCAATAACAAATAACTTGTTAATTTGACTATTTGTAATTATTATTGTTAAAACACGGCAGATATGATAATTATATGTACTTCTTTAATGCCTATGTTTTCATAGTAATAGATCATGTAGATTCTATTAGTCAAAAATATTTGACCAATTTTCGAAATACACATGGATTTCCTTACATAGTAAATATTGTAACATTGCTATACTATACGAGATCATTTTCTTCCTTTTCTTTTTACGTTAGTATCGATCACAGTACAGCAAAACAGCTATTAAGCTAGCTCATAATAGAAACTGCCCTATCACGTGTAACTGTGATTTATAATTCTTTTTATATTTATTTTTACATGTTTTACGTTACCAGGTAAGAAACAGCATTATTGACTTGAATTATACTAAATTGTGACTCTAAGGACCATAAATATGATTATTTCGTAAGTGCATGGAGTTATAAGATGCTACAACCAATTCTTTTTAAAATCATGTAAAATATTTGTATGCTAGTTAGATTAAAATATAAAATGTGTAATTTGTCATTGAAGTTGATATTCCTTATGGTACACATGAAAGTACACAATACTTTTACAAATATTTATACACAATTATTCGGCATACCAACAACCATATAATCATGCAATGTTAAGAATTTATAAAATGAGGTAACGAAATTGTCATTTCATACATTGTTTTCCATACACGCTAGCAATTTTATAAATTTTATAATGACAAATATAAAAATTTTTGTTGAATAGAAATCGATTTTATAAGTATGTTCTTTAGCTTTAAATCTATATTGTGATTCCTCTGATAAAAGTTGAAAGATACGGTAATAAATGTCCTTCATTAATGTATTAAATTATTATATCAAAACA